CTGTGCTTAGCCTTAATCTAGGAGAGGAGACTAGTAGGCCTTAACTAGTAGTATAACGCTCTTAGTAAGGTAAGAGAGTATCTTAGAATAAGGCTCGATATTTATTACGCTATTCCTTCGTCCAATCATCGGAGAGAAAGAATTGGAACCTATTATCTAGCGCCAGTATAGTACTAATCGTATAAAGGTAATCACGATCATGATCTATCTGCGAATAGTACTTATTAAGCTTCAATCGGCCAGCCTTAAGGGAGGAAAGTATCTGTTATTTCTATAGGACACACTTTCGTTAAAGCTGCTTAATAGACTTCTTAAGGTGCTCAAATAATATATTGTAGATCTAGAATACTAGATATACAGTTATATCTCGAGTCTTTGAAAGCGTAAGAGTGTATTCGTAGAATGGCTTTGTAAGACAAAGAAGGTAATCGATCTAACGCTATTCGTCGTTGTTAAGTGCTATCTCCTCGCAGTTATAGTCTATACAGAATATACTAAGGAAATCACGGAGCCTCTTTACCCGGCGAAGTATAAGAAACGTTGAGTTCCACCTAGTCTTTATATCCTAAAGTAGTATAAGTGCCTGCTCTAAGGGCTGAAGACTGACAAAAGCTTCGCGACGTTGGGGACTAGCCCGGATATAAACAGTAAGATACCGTACCTTATTCAAAGTATAAGATATACTGCGATTTTTGCTTTAGGTATTTGCTTTCGCGAGTATTGATTAGCGATCAGACTATTTGGTCTCAGCAGTATCATTTAGAGGGACTGCTTTCAAGCGATTAAGAAGTTGGTTCAGACTCAATTAGATAATATATATAAGACAGGGTATTCGGATAATATAAATATCGCTCGACAATACCTATTGTAGCGAGTCAACAAGGGTCTTATTATTCGATATATTATCCGTGGTTAACCTAAACACACGATCCTGGATATTGTGATCAGTAAGTATCTCTAAGAGGACACCACTTAGATTAGCACTAGTATAAGCACCTTCGAGGGGTTTAAACCTAAGAAGTACCTCCCGGTAGGACCAATCAATATCAATAAAATAGCCAGTGATAGCTATAAATACTTGTCCGAATAGTGAAGTCTAGCAATCCAATACAATTGAAATTTTTATATCTACTGGAAGTAGTTTAAGTGTAGAGTGTTGACGTTCTTTCACACGAGTAGATAGTCGACGTCGAACTGTATCAGCAGAGGGGATAGATAGTAGGCTTAGGGCCGAGTGTGCTTGTGATATTATCCGTCGAAACGTTAGATATTCGATAAAGTGAAAGGGAAGTCGATTGATCGTAATAAACTGTAACAGATTGTCCTCCTAAGCTACCTCGGAGAATGGCTCTCGGATGGTATTTTCCTATTTTAATTATATTAGTGGTACGAACCGTACTAGAGGGATATCTATACTGTTAACTGAATAAACTTATCGAGTCGCCCTCGTTGCTGATCTCCACTTATAGCCCTTTTACAGATAGAAGTCCGAAGATACCTAGTTATAGTAGTTGTACTATAACGCGTATCCTTCCCGTTCGTATCTTTTTTGGCTGTATAAGGATACTTAAGGATCGCAGAGCAATACTTATATATAACCTTTGGGCTGCTATCGCTGCTATAGGCTACCTGGGTAAAGTGCTCCCAGATATATAAAAGATGATTTGAGTGCTATACAACCTTACCCTTTGATCTATAATCAGTTTGTAACCACCACTCTACCTATTCTTAGTGATTTATTCTATTATACAAGAAGTATAACCTTTTCCGATCGGGTCCGATACGTTCAAATCGTTTAAGCTGGGGGAGTAAGGGAGGGTCGTCTGGTCGAAGAAAAGCCGGTACGGAGACATTAAAAGTCTGTTGGCTTATCGATGGCGTAGCTGGATAATTAGAGGGTATAAGGTAGGATAAGTTATCGTAGTTACCTCCGAATTGGGATGATATAAACTCGGACTGCTGACTTTGGGATATCGCAGAGTTAATAAAACCTATAACTGTAAGGGCTTTTAAGAATCTATAAAGGAGTGTTGATACGTTATAAGAAGCTCGACTACCTAGAAGTGTTACTTAGCTAGTTAAATCAATAATCGATAGATCAAAATAGAGGGTGATAACAGTAATAGATAATTAGTTAAATTGTCTACAATAAGTGGGACCGGCTCGAAGAAAGCCTATAAAGCTCGAAAAAAGCCCACAAAGCTCGAAAAAGAGCCCGTAAAGCTCGAGAAAAGCTCGTAAAGCCCACTAATAACCCGTAAAAAGCCTATTCCCGGCCTATTCCTAGCTCGTTAGAAGTTGATTTTCCTCAAAATATTTCAACTGATTAGCTATGAGAAATTGTTAAATATAGGTAGCTTATCCAGAACCATTAGGACTAGCAATCTAAAATATTCCTAGAAATCATAAAGGTATAGACTTTCTTTTTATATAAAATTTGAATAAGTCAAGCCACTTATAATTGGTATTGATCTGAGATTGATACTCGACCATAAAGATATACATGGTTCCCAGTACAGAATATATATCTCAGTATATATTAACTTATAAGCGTAGAACATTTCTAACAAATTGATCTATATAGTTATAAAGCTTAGTTATTATGCTAATATATCAAAGATAAACATCTATTCACTAGAATTTCCAAATATTTCACCTTCCTGATTATGATAATAGAGTAGAATTCTATGTTTGAACCAAAATATGGGTAAAAGACTGTCATTTATTTGGGTGATTCAGCCATTTTATGAACGCCAAGACCATGGTTTATGCAATTTCGAGCCCAGGGGGGGGGCCCGACGAGCCCCCCCCTTCGAGCCGGGGTCCGGGTCGAGCCCAAAAAGTTCGACCCCCAGCTCGTTGAGGGTCGGGTTTCGAGCCCGGACCTTGGGCCCAAAGTTGGGCTTTACGGAAGTCTACCCAAGGCCCACCGTGGACGGGCCTTGGGCACCTCCTAGGTGCCCATGGACGGGCGATGTCGCAGTCTAGTCAGAGATAATAATATATATATCTACCCCCCCAGAAGGGCTTTTCTGACCGCGGTCAGAAATAATGACATAAACACCTACCTCCCAGAAGTGATTTTCCGACCGCGGTCAGAAAACATAATTCGGAGTATATATAATAAGAATAAGATATTTCTATTTACATTTATAGTTATCCCGTAATATATATATACTCCCCTCTACCACAAATATATATTTTCAACAGTCCACAGTCAATAAATACTTAAATTAATAGAACACCACTATACTATAATTAATGTGAATTTTTATCAGTAATCAATATAATACAAAGCCTATTAGCTTCAAATTCAGGGTAATTATATAAATTTTCCAACTTAATATTGTGATAATGTAGCAATATTTGATGAACAAACCAGAACAGCTGTAAAAAACAGTAATTTATTTGAATAACTTAGCATTGTTATGAACGCCAAGACCTATCTTTTATGCAAAAATGGGTTCAAATGGGTTATTATTGGGTTATTGGGTTTAACCCATTGGGTTTTGGGTTGGGTTGGGTTTTGGGTCGGAGACTCCGACCCAAAATGGGTTCTGCCGAAGTCTAATTGCGGATATCTTACGGATATTTTGTGGATATACTGTGGATATATTGTGGATATTTTGTGGATATCCACAAGATATCCGTAAGACCTCGAAACTCGTTAAGTCCGTATTTCGAGAACTTCTATCTCGGATTTCTCAAGTTCTAGTAGTCGGAACAAATTAAAAAAATAATCAGTAGATAGATAGGACTTTTAGCTTTTATTTAAGCCTAAAACTAAAAGAATTTATCTAATAATAACAGTTTTGATTTTCTATATTCTGTTTCCTACGAAGTTTATTATAGTTAACAGTAGGTAAATATATATTTCTACGTATAACTTACCACAAAATCGTCAATCTACGGCCACCTTTATAATATAACGTCGGACTAAGAAAACTATAAGACCACCTACAAATACTGTATAAGGAGACCTTCGATATATATCTATTTCCTAAAATTTCAAAGTGCCGACCGTCGATTTAAGGGGTTAGTTCTGTTAAGACTAAATATGCGTTTATTTCAGTGGTAAGGAAATATTGGTAAGCTGCATTAAGATCATATAATAGGCTATAAGGGGGAAAGTAAGCGAGAGTTATGCTAGTGCGGATATCCTTGGATATCCGCATTGCGGATATAAGGATCGATCTGATATCCATTGGAGCGGATATGCCGCAGTCTAATTTTATCTGATTACTTTGCAGATTTATGTAGCCGAAAGAGGAAATTCTTGGCAAAATTATACTAGCATGGGACCATATGGGAGTCCTATAAGTCCTATGGGAGTCCCATGGGACTACCAGGGTTATGGGACCAGAATTTTTTTAGTCCCATGGGAGTAGATGGGACCAGGATATGGGACCAAAATTTTTTTAGTCCCATGGGAGTTGTCAAGGCCTAGTGAAATACGTTAAATTGTACCCGGAAGCCGATACAGAAATACAGAGAGTTGAAACCCATTCATTGGACCCCCCTATTTTACAATACCACTTGCTCCAACAGGGTTCCCATTAGCTAAAGGGGGGTCCCATTAGCCATGGGGGGGGTCGCATTAGCCATGGGGGGGGGGTCCCTGTATCAATCCCCTATTTCTAAACCCTAAACCTATATAAAAAAGTTAGATTGCTACAAACTTGAAGTGAGAATGTTAATACACCTATAAAAAACAGTATTTTATCTGCTGAGTTAGCATTTTTGTGCAACCAAAATAGGAAATGCTTGGCAAAAATATATATGCTATAGGACTATATGGGAGTCCTATCACTCCCATAGGACTCCCATGGGACCACTATAGTAATGGGACCAAAATTTTGGCTAGTCCCATGGGAGTGATGGGACCAGGATATGGGACCAAAATTTTTCTAGTCCCATGGGAGTTGGCAAGGTCTACAACTAGGTGTGTGCAAATAGGATTCTCCTTCTTATGACTTATTTCTACTACCTTACACTGAACACTATTGCAGCTGTACCTCAGCCTTCTCGGCCTCATCCTGGATCTCGTTAATATCCCTGCCCGTAGTTTCCAGTAGCCCAAGCCGTTCCTCATACTGGCAGGCCAGCACAGCAAGCGTCGAGGACTTCCACAGTGGAACACGGCGGCTCTCGCGATTGCTAAAAATACTCAAGATAGCGAACAAAATAGCGAATACTTCAGTCACGATCGGAACAATAAAGTACCCCCAGCGGATAGAAACAAATGGCTCGCTCTGAACTACCTCTCCATATGCAGACTGGGTATTTGGACCATACCGTAGATAGTCAGTCATAGCAATCGCCATTTTGTGAAACCGGGCGCTAATATCCACATCGCCAGATAGAGCAGCGGCGACACCGAGGTTCGGGTTGATAAAGTTCCCTGAGACCCACTCGGTAACTATTGACGTGGACTCGAAAAAGGTTTCCACTGCGGTAAGACTAGAATATCCCATTTCAAGTGCAGGAATATGGATATCACTACTTGTCGACTGATTAGTGTATATGCGCTTGAATTTAATGTCTTTTGTTCCGGTCTCGATCGTCCAGGGATTCTTCACGCCGAAATCGACCTCCCTCCTACTTGCAAAGGAGAAATCACTACCATTTGCTTTAGCACCTGTGTACTCATAGGCCGTGATGAAGAGAGAACAGTCGGTGATGTTGATGTCATGCATCAGAAAATTGCTGTCAGGTGTCGATCTATAAATTGCGAATCGCGTGATTTCGGGAAAGGTATCTGGGAATGCATTCGATGATGATATTGACGATATTGATGTGTTTACCAATAGTGACGATGCATTCAGGTAATATGTTGTCCCCAAATCGCTGAACCAAAAGCGAGTTGCAAGGTCAATTCCGCCTGGTGTTGTCATGTTGCATTGTTGTGAGGAATATTCGCTGCCCTCACAGGTTGCCGTTTGCAATGTTTCCTGGGTGACATTCCTACACTCAGACTTGAACCCAAGTGATATATATGATTCAGTCCAACGACATGCCCCGGGGCAGTGGAAAGGTTCTGCAGTGTTGATGCCATAAATGCCCTGAATGATGGTAGACTGCATATGGGGATCCTGCGGGGTGCTCTCTAGTCAGAAGCATGTTAGCTGCACTTGTTGTTTCGGGTGTGGATAGTGTTCACCGTGCTTACCGATGTCAGAGTTGAACGTGTCAATATTTAGTATGCTCCGTGTGTAATTATGCGCATATCCGAAGGTGACAGTGTTGGCAGAAGAGATGATATCTCGCTGCTCAATCAGAACCACCTGTTGTGCGAATGGCGAGAAAGCAAGTCGCAGGATCGTGATAAATGCGCCGATGGTGGCAAGATTCCACTTGACGGTGGTAAGCAGAAGAATAGATCCGCCAACACCACGACTCGCTCCATCGAATTTTTCCAAGTCCGCAAGTTTGCGAGGCCCGTTCCTGAAGTGAAGCCATTTTGACTGTGCAATAAATGTGCTTACCCCATGCATCAACGCCGTAGTGTATGCCGTTGTCAGGATGGAAATTGTTGCGTTGAGAGAGACGCGGCCGCGCCAGGCAGAGAGAGGCTTGTTGTCCATATACCAGAAGATCAAGGCAATGCCAATGAGGACGCCCAAAGCCAGAATCGAACTAATCGATTCCAAAAGCCATTCTCTGTGGGAATACGCTGGATGCCGCTTATACTCAGTGGTGGTCGCGCCTACTTCAAAAACATGGTTCAACTCATCTGGGTGAGCTTTCTGGTTACTGTCGACTTCGGCCATGGTGACAGCCTGTGGCTATGGATCTGCAATTTGAATTTGGTTTGATGGATGAAGTCAACATGAAGATGGTTAAAAGAAAGATAAGAAAATGCGACCAAATACGGAACGTCACCAAACGGTGGTCAAGGCTAACTTCTGGCTTTGACATGTTTGTTTTGATTTTGTGACAAAAATCTACCTTTAGGCTGTTTGGCTCTTTGAAGACAATTGGTCTGATTTCTGTACGTTAGCCCTTCTGATGGGGCCTGCTAGGATTCAATTCCTTCGCAGTGGTCTGTCCGCAAGCTTCGGCGATTGGCAACTGCGAGTCGCACCTGAGACTCTCACTTGAAAAGGGGAAACTGGACCCAAATGCCAAGAAATCCGTTGTACCCATGTCTATATCGGGGTAGACAGTTCACCTCCTATTGGTAGCGGGAAAGTTTGTGCTGACAGCACAAACACTGGGAAATTTTAGACCGTCAGCTCCTCGTATTGCCCCACCCACGCCCGTAACGCTAGAGGTCGTAGCGCAGTCTTCCCTCTCTTTGACTTCAGTTGGGATCATTGGGTCATCCTATCAGCTATGGCATATATACACTTGTAAGGGGCCAAATGGCCGCGTTGGAGTCATCTGAGCCGTCAGCTTCAACAATTTCGATTATTATCCACGGAGTATTGCAGCACTTTGTGTGACGTCGTTTATACTTCCTATTAGCCAGTCAGTGAAGTCCGAAATGCATCTGCTAAGTCGAGAGACATTTCCTTCTCCGATTCGATAAATCACACCTTCATTTCGTTGGTAAAGCAAACGAAGTGAGGCAATCTCCTTGTATATGATGTTAAGAGAATAGCCCTACTTCCCGTTATTTCGTCATTTCGCGTCCGACTTTGTCCACTTGTATAATCTTTCTATAGAATTGAGACTGCAGTTGACATTTCTTCCTGAGGTTTAAGTGGATACTTCAGGTGCTTATGTCTCAGGTACAAAAGTATGTCGTCGAAGGAGGACTGGGGTCAATATGATGCGGAGCCTCCACAGGATACATACGGAAACGCGTGGTCAACTAACTTGAAACCAGACCTACGCCAGAACGGAGTATGTGGGTTTTAACATAATTAAACCCAGAATTGGGATATCCAATCTGTCAATGCGAACCTTACAACATCGAAGTGACAAGCCCTGGAGGTCGACGAACACTACTCCGTACTCCGTACATACATGTATAGAGTATAATTGGGCCCGGGCCGTTAGTTATCTACGTCGCAAAGTTATCTAAGCCCCAGCCCTCGTATTATCCTTGTATGAAAATCAATTTATACTTTCCTGAGGTTCGTTTCTAATCCATTATGCAATGTGACTATCCTAGTTCGGGTTATATCATTGAGGATGGCCAAATGACGTTGAAGCCTGCAGATGAAGCGTCGGCCCTAGAGGTAAAGAACCCTGTTCTCTTGCCAAGCGAGTCGACTCAGCCCTGCTTGTTTTGTTGTTTAGCTGTATATCGGATTTCTTGGCGAAAATGCTGGATTTAAGCCGCTTTTGCTCGCCGTTGAGCATTTCAACGAAAAGTGTGCCCATGTCTAGAAAATGATCAAATCATCTCCATAAAGTCACATTTGAGGTTCACTATTTACTAGGGAACTCTTTAGATCTCCACAAGCGACCATGTTACCCCTTCTCCATTACATGCTGGCGTACGCCATGCTGTATTTACAGGGTGCTACAGCACTTCCACAGGGAATCACCCCATCCGAAGTCTCGAGCGTAACATCGGCTACACCCACAGGAAATTTCGTTATGGAGAATGAAAGAACCTGCGAGTTTGATACGATGAGCGATTTCTTCGATTACACCAACAGGAATGGTCTAAACATCACAGTAGAGGTCCAGAATTGTCAGAATCTGTGCTTGCTTACCTATGGGGTGGGAAACCCTGATCTTTCTGGCATCGGTGTAAGTTTGCAAACGCAATTTATCTCTAATTTCTCCACAAACTTCATAGCTGATTGATTGTGCCTCGTTCTAATCCAGATGATGTATGCATATAGCATACAAACTGGCCTCACAATCCTCGTGGGTCCTGTTTATCGTATAGTTTACCTCACCTTAGCGCCAGTGAGCGCCTTTGTCCGAGACATAAAAGACGTTCAAACGAACTTCTTCTCCTCTAATGGCTTCTTCGTCGGTTCCTCCGCCATAGCCACGCTCGCAAACCTGTCACAGAGCCCATCCACGTTTGAGATCGCCGAGATGCAGGCCATGGCCTTCCTCCAAGTCAACAGCATCCTTGTAACCTTCTTCTGTCTGGTCGTGGCGCAGCCAATGTCGCGCTGGGCCGCACGAGTACTACTCTATTTTGCAGTGTTTGTTCTCGTGATAGTTGCCCTAGGCAAGAGCAATCTGGATGGTGACAGCAAGGAAAACTGGAGACTTGCCTCTGATGGCTGCGCACACAGCTCAACAGACTACAGCGTTATCAACCCCATCCCGTATCCATCATGGACCGTCGCTATCTTTGCCGTCGCGGGTACATTTGCGTTCTGGCTACAATCCCTCAAGGAAAAATTCCAGGCAGACAAATTACACAGGTCACTTTTCAGGTTCTTGATGCTATTTTGGGTGTTGTTGACTGGACTCTTGACTGCGGGCATGGTAGTCGGCCTGACGATGATGTGGCGACAACGAAGGCATCTGCGAAGCTTAGCAAGAGACCAATTTGAGGATGATCAGTGGGGTTTCGGGCAGATCGCTGCCTTGACAATATGGGCGCCGATACCGGTTGAATTGCTCTATATTCTAAATGGTGAGGAGCTCGTCATACTTACTGGTGGTATTCCATCACGCTGACATGTGCACTTTGCTACAGACCTCGCCCAACGCAAGTCTGAAAGATGGAATCGTTTGAACCAGACCATTAGCGTTTTCTTTTCTCCGAAATCTTTGCAGGAAGACCAAGCTACATCCAGTTCCAACTTGCAACCTGAAATTGTTGAACTACGCTCTAAGGGAACAGATCTAGAGCGAAGGGTTTGATTTTAGGAGGAAAGAAACGATGTACACATGTATATATATAAAGGTTCGGGGCTAAAGAACTAGCGGGTGGCATACCTAGTGTCACAATTAGGAATTCAGGGATCAATACAACAGAAATGAAATATAAGGGCAGAAATGGAAGAACTGATTGAAGCTAGCAAACAAACGGTGAGAATGGAAAGGCTTGAATTCAAAATATAGGTATTGTGAGAACCACAAAGGAGGACTTAGTAAAGTAAATAATCGTAGCTAGATTATTAACACTACGCTGTAGAAACTTAAAGACCTGTTTTCCCGGTATTCTAGTGACTTCATGCGTCTTATTCAAGAGCGCTTTATGTATAAATAGTCGATTTTCTATTCCGATGGGCGATCCGCTATTTCGCGAAGCCAGGCAGCTATACATTTAACACGGATGCAGCCTTGAGTGACGGCAGTATTGGTCGCCATAATTTGGGTACGAATTCCCAAAGAGGATGATAACAACATTTAACCTCAATAAAAGTTATTTCTAGGCGACGAGTCTCACGTGTTGAAACTGTCGGAAAGAGACCTGTGCGGTGAATGAAGTTGACCATGTAGCGGGTGGCCTACGGGTTCGACATAATCTTGTCCCAATCCATCCCCTTGATTCCGACCCAGTACGTTTATTTCTTTGTATCAAGTACGAAGTGATAGCTTCGCCGGGTTTCATTGGCCATGTGCATCGAGATGAAGCTCACCTAGGCTGTCAATAACCTGTATTAGCGCCTGGTTTGATCAATGCAATTAGCTTTATCCTTATTATTGGAGTGATTAGCAGATCGCTAAAAGCCATATATTCCCAGGTTCTAGCTATGTTAATTCAAATGTAGCGGAATATTAGCTTCTCTCCTCGACGAGCACGCCAACTATTTGTTGCGTTCATCAATTCAGGGCATCCTCGAACAACCCATTGCCATTTCTTCAGGAACGGCTCAGTCACTTCCCAATTCTGTACATTCCAAGGGTCTCCCCAAACTAGCAGCCCTGCATCCATCGTTGACTCCCCCCAAAAACCCATGATATCATGACACAGCTGCTCATCATCCCAGTCATCTCCGGCTTCAATGAGATTGTCGCGCATCTTGGGTAAAGGAAAGAAGTCGAGCCATGGGTGATGAGGTATCGATTTCTGAACTCGAGTGGGCTGCATGTTGGCCGGAATGAGGCTGTTATCATCTGCGGTAGAGGACTTGTGTGGTAAAGCTGTATTGAACGGTGAAATAGCGTCGTTGTCCATCCAGTACTCTGACCAACCAATTAATCGCAAGTTTTGAGCGAACGCTCGAAAGACATTAATTTTCGTCAATGTCATAAGATGATCGGCGGTCGGGTTCCCCTGTGCGTAACTTTCATACGCTGACTTGGCGAATCTGTCCAGAAAATTTTGTAGAAATTCGGGGCTGCGACAGAGGTTGACTTTCAGCTTGTCATGGGAAGAGCTGCTTTGCAATTGGGCGGTAGAGGTTGAACGAGGGGGTGGTACTAGGCTCTTAGGGTGGATATCTTTGCTTGACGACAGTCGCTTCCGCTTTCCTAGCAAATATTAGCTCAAGAACAGACTGCAGCGGACCCAACGTACGGTAGGCCCTCTGGTTTATCCGGTTCTGTCGCCGACGGCGTTCGGTCGGGTCACTCAATCCAGACCAGTTATCCGTCACTTGCTCGGCGTCATCGGAGACGGAGGTTAGATGGTCAATTTTCAAGGTTTCAGTCATTCTGGCTATCAGGACTAGGGTGTGGCGCTTTGCTTAACTAGTAGGTGACAACAGTGTTGAAGATGAAGCCACGCCACCCCATGGCAGTTGAGGAACCAAAATTCTCTACCAATCGGATTGCTTGGCGATCGGGGCTGATCACGGAGTTAAGAGATCACGTTCCGTATGGTCACAACAGTGGATCCACATGCATATACAACGTACTTTATACTTTTTACAGGTTTATATCGACGTTTTTGGTAATTGAAATCTTTCCAAATATACATAGTGAAGAGGGGAATGCTCTTGGCTATATGCTCTCAGGCATACGGGTCAATCCCGCACTCGTAAGTCCACGTCGTACCGACCGAGGCATACAAAGGGAACTGGGACTAACGTCCAGGAAGCGAGATCAGAGAGGTGTAGGAGTATATGTCTTCAATCTGTAACTATGTGCTACTTGTAATCTCGCCTGTCCTCTCTTGCTTACATGATAAAACCCACAAAAGAAGGAAAGGCTAGGTAGGTAGGGCGAATGAGTAGTGGAGGACCATGTTCCCCACTACAATAGCTAATGACACCATCATAAGAACATCATTGACTTATCTAAACTCTGCGTACGCAAAATCAGCTGGGGCTAAACATCGCTGGCGCTCTCCAAATGCATATAGCCCCAGCATCATGCCAGTGAAGTTGGCCCCAACTGGAGGAGCTGCCGTAGCAGCACTGTTAGAAACTGACCCAATCCAGTGGACCTCAGATTCTGTGCCTTCGCAATACCCAAATTGATATTCCGTGCCACAGTCAACTGTGAGAGTGACAGCAGTGTTTGTATCCAATCTATGTTCCACAATGTCGCCCTCCGATGGTCGAAAACGAATAAACCGGCCCTTGCTATCTTTCCTAATACCGATGCTGCTATATGTAAAATAGTTCAACCAGACCACAGTACCAGCCTCGGTTTCATCTACCGTCGGCTCAAAGGAAAGCTTTGTTTCCCACCTACAGAGGTGGTGGGTTTGCTTGCGGAGGAACATGGTTGGACTGGCCGGCACTGACAGATTATATGGTCCGCCGTGGAGACGAAGGTAATTGGGGCGCTCAGTCAGCGAGTAGTCGTTCACGAAGGGTGTGTCTATTTTGTGGTCAGATCGACTCAAGTGGGTTCGTTCTTCAGGGCTCACTTTTTCGGTACCAGCCGACTTGCATTTGTGGCTCCGAAAATTCATCTCTCCAGGAGACCGGAATATCAAATTGATAAAGACCAGGTCCATTGGAATTGAGACTGATTTTCTGCCCTCCGTTGATCACAGGCCAGTCGTCTTTCCATTCCAAAGGAACCAGAAATGTCTCTCGACCTAGGAAGGTTAATATGATAACCAACCAATACGTTCGAGACACCCTACCTAGCACTGATTCTTGCCACATATCTCCTTGTCTTGAAGGACGAACGCCGAGGACAACTGCCCACCATTGCCCTTTGGTATCCTCGACCAGATCGGCATGTCCTGTGTTTTGCACTTCGTCCTCAACGCCATTGCGCCAGAGAGGGTTATTTGGCCCAAGTTCCCACGGTCCAAATGGACCAACCTCACTGCGGTTCACCCATTCGCTATGGCCACTTTCAGTGCCACCTTCTGCTGTAAACAGGTACCAATAACGGCCGCGTTTGAAAATATGCGATCCCTCAGCAACACCAGAAGAAGATTCCCGGATCAATTTAGGCGCAGATGTCGAATGCCCGGTGGCCAGATCAACAGTGCATACATGAATCGCAAAGTCTTTTAGATTAGCACCAATAGTTGGCTGAGTCTTTCTGTAGGTCGAGGATAAATATACGGTTCCATCGACATCCCAAAAAAGCTATAGTATTCAACCGTCATTCTTGTTTTCCATGCAGGTGGTGATGCCGTTGGTTAAAACTTACATCTTGGTCAAAACCGACTTGGTCGAAATAGATTGGATCAGACCATGTTTTCTCATTCCATATATCGGTCGTTCTGACGTAAAATCCCTGTGGCCAAACTCGGTCATCCTGTTGAGGACGATAACGCTGAAAGCTTGCAGCCATGATATAGTAAACCCCCGCGTGATGACGAATTGTGGTTGCCCATACTCCACCTCCTGGTTCTGGTGTATGGATTTGGAGCTGGCTGGGCCGTGTCAATGCATGACCGATCAATTTCCATTGAATCAAATCCTGGCTGTGGTAAATGGGGACTCCAGGGAAGTATTCAAAGGTAGAGGTGACCAAGAAAAAGTCTTTGCCGACACGAATAATAGATGGGTCAGGGTTGAACCCCGGAATGATGGGATTAGAGTAACTCATTGTGCTTAAAAAATGCAGAATTGACGGCACCATTGGGTTGGCTTATATGCAAATGAATATATTCCGATTGGTGGAAAAACAAAGCCCGTAGAATCCAAAATGTGGCGCGAGTTCGTATTACAGGAGGGGAAGATCTTTTCAATGGAGTGTTAATGGGTAAAATGTGACATACTTTATAGAATTGATGGAATGGTTCAGCGATCCAGTGCTTTTCTCTTCGTGGAGATATCAAATCCAATTGTATACAAGTTATCTAAGCGAATTCACTCGAGATCTCAAGCGACAATGGACATTACAAGTCGATCAAAAATCGAATGCTCAGATCTCTGATCACGAAGTGCTTTTGACACCAGAAGTACAGCTTCACAATAATTTTTGATACAACGCATATACCAAAGTAGTATCTCTGCGAAAGCCTTGTTAGCACGTAGGTATAACAAGCACAAAAAGTGTCTGGACAAAAGAACTGAGAATGAAGTCTGATAACCCATCCAGAGTCAACAAATCTCATACCCGAAGTTCTGCCGAAGTAATGTGGGGGACGTCACTATCCCCTCATCCCAATCTGATGATGCGGGTTGACCCACCGCGCCAAGGAAATTGGGCTGTCATTGCTGTTTATTGTTCATATCTGCAAACAAAAGTCACATAGAACTCAACCACACGCTATGCAAACTACCTGTGTAGCTCAAAAATCGCTCGATGAGAGTCCTGTCGCTCTTCAGGCTTCACCTCGTGCCCAGTCAGATATACGTCCGTCTTTGAATCCTCCTGCAGGCTTGTTGTTAGAAAAATGGAACCAGCCTCGTGTCAACATTCATAGGACCTTTGCCACGTTCTGGTCATTCCTAGTCATGGGTGCTAATGATGCAGCCTATGGCGTAAGTCATCTTCCAAACGGAGCACCGTGTGATTCCAATGCTGCGAGATATCCGCTGACTGTTCACAGGCCGTAATTCCATATGTAAGATGAAACCCTCTAAAACTGACGACAATCCATCTCATCTGCCATACAGCTAGAATCATACTACCACCTATCATACACGATTGTGTCTCTCGTTTTCTTGTCGCCTCTGGTAGGCTATACAGTCGCTGCTTTTCTCAATCACCGCATCCACTATACGCTAGGTCAACGCGGTGTGGCCATTATCGGGCCAGCGTGTCACCTCATTGCCTATGTTATCAACTGCATTCATCTACCGTACCCGGTGTTAGTGGTCGCATTTGTTTTTGCGGGGTTGGGAAATGGCCTAGAGGATGCAGCATGGAATGCATGGATTGGTAACATGGCCAATGCAAATGAGGTGTTGGGAGTGCTGCATGGGATATATGGAGCTGGTGCAGTGATGAGTCCGTTGGTTGCAACATCGATGATTGCCAAGGGCGGTCTGCCATGGTATTACTTTTATTATGTCATGGTGAGTGCTGAGAGTTCCTCGCAGATCTTTGGCCCCGAATTAATTGTCAGATCGGATGTGCGGTTATCGAATTGCTGCTTTGTAGCGTATGCTTCTGGAAATCAACCGGAGCCAATTTCCGCGCATCCAATGTACCATCGGCGGATGAGAACAAAAAAAGTGGTTTGAAAGATGCATTTTTTAAGCGTCCAGCTGCCCGAGTGACCTGGCTCTGCGCATTGTTCTTGCTGGGATACGTCGGAGTGGAGGTGGCGCTGGGAGGGTGGATTGTTACTTTTATGATCCGAGTCCGACAAGGTAGTGCTTTTGCTAGCGGTATGACGGCTACTGGGTTCTGGTTGGGGATCACGGTTGGACGGGTAGTCTTGGGGTTTGTGACGCCCCGAGTGGGCGAGAAAGTTGCAATTTCGGTGAGCATCACGCTGGTTTGCGACAGAATGAGACTGATTTCCACTAGACATACATTGTTCTCTCTATGGCATTTGGTTTGGTCCTATGGCTTGTGCCCGAGTTCTATGCGTCGGCCATGGCAGTGTCTCTGCAAGGCTTCTTTCTCGGCCCCCTTTTCCCGGGTGCAGTTGTGATGGTTACCAAGCTTCTTCCTCGGCACCTACATGTCGCCTCGATAGGGTTTGTCGCTGCTTTTGGGGGTAGCGGGGCCGCAATTCTCCCTTTTGCGGTCGGTGTGCTTGCACAAGCCAGGGGCGTGAAAGTGCTGCAGCCATTTATCATTGCGCTGTCTGGTGTCATTCTCATCACGTGGCTGGGATTGCCGCGGGTGTCTAAGGTCAGGCACAATGAATAGATGAATAAAAACTCACATGTTGACATGTGACAATGATTCGGGACCTTTGGGTTATCAGATCGGGACTTTTTGCCTCTGCAATGTTGTGCTTCCGTTTCACGTGACTCGTCCGATCGAAACATCGTATGACCGGGGTATAGTTTGAAACAAGCTTGGAAGTTAGCATAGTAAAGTGTTCAATGTGGCAGAACACATTCAAACCGAGGTCATTCTTCAGAATCCTTACAACGGGGTACTCCGTATTCGGTAATCCCATCCCTCCTAGGACCCGACTATCGGCCTCAGCTGATTTCGGACCTGTTTAACCCCGTGGAAGCAAACCGGAGCGTGTACGGAGTACATATTCTCTCCCCACTTCCCCATATCAAAATCAAAATCAGGTAGAATGTGCGGGGAGATTTCTGAATTAATAAATTAATAAAATCGTGTTACTGCATACGTAGTCAAAGGGTTCTAGGGTCTAACAGACATAAAAACAGTCGACTCGGGAAAGCTTGGAAGTTCCCCCGGGCCCGCCTGAGTGGCCCCGGGGAATCACGTTTTCCTTAGTCAGCTCTTTTAAGCCGAGGCTCTTTCCCAATTGAGACCCTCGGCGGTTTCAACCTCTTTCTCTCTGGGATTCATAACCCCATCTTTCCCCTTCTTTTTCTTTCCTCTATCCCATATATCCTACATACCCCCTTCTTGTTCACAATGCCAACACCTCCTCCCGATTGGGTTAAGGCCCTGAAGCCATCAGGCCCGCAAGGATCGGAGCTCCTACAACAGGAGCGAGCTCAATCGAATGTCAACGTCGAAAGATTATCCGAGTTTTTGCATACAAAGAAAACCTTAGAGCGACGAGCATCGATCCTAGCTCTCTTGCAGCCGGAAAATGTATTTGATAAGTCCCAAAATCATACTTTGGGCCGCGTAGAGCGGCTCCAGCGGTCGCTGGGCAAGGCCAAGCGCCTCCAACAACTCGCGGAAGAGCACAAATGGTCAATGGGAGATCTCCAGGCAGCCAATGATTTGATCGGTGAACCTACTCCGTATGGTTTACACGCCAGCATGTTCCTAGTAAGTAAATTGGATGCGCCTCAAGAAGCCAACTAACCACTTTGATCATTATCCAGGTGACTCTCCGGGAACAAGGCACGCCCGAGCAGCACAAGCTGTTCCTTGAACGCGCAGAAAAATACGAGATTATCGGTTGCTATGCGCAAACAGAATTGGGCCACGGATCGAACGTGCGCGGTTTGGAAACTACTGCCACCTGGAACTCCAACGATAAGACATTCACCATCAACTCACCAACTTTAACTGCCTCGAAGTGGTGGATTGGATCTCTCGGCCGCACGGCCAATCATGCGGTGGTCATGGCCCAGTTGTTCATTGATGGCAAGAACTACGGTCCGCATCCATTCGTTGTGCAGATTCGTGACCTCGAAACCCACCAGCCATTGGATAATGTATATGTGGGCGATATTGGCCCCAAATTTGGCTACAAGTAAGTCTGTTCTCATTCCTTGGATGACACGGGGACTAATCACCATTTTAGCACTATGGATAATGGTTTCCTGCTGTTCAATAACGTCAAGGTACCCCATGTCAGCATGCTAGCCCGCTTCTGTCAGATCGACAGAGAGACGAACCTCTATGCCAAGCCTGCTATGCCATCTCTTGTCTTTGGTACTATGACCTGGGTGCGATCCAATATTGTTCTGGATGCGGGCGGTGTTCTGGCTCGCGGTGTCACTATTGCGACTCGGTACTGTGCGGTTCGGAGGCAGTTCCAGGATCGCGATGCGGATCCACACGCGGGCGAGACCCAAGTACTGAACTATAAGATGGTGCAGGTGCGCTTGTTGCCGTTATTGGCATCTATGTACGCCCTTCATTTCACCGGTCGCGGTATGATGCGTCTATATGATGAGAATCAAACCCGCATGAAGGCAGCCAGTTCGCCCGACCAGGAGTCGCGAGGTGCTGGACCTGAGCAGCTCCGCGCCGGTGCGAACCTCCTGGCGGACCTGCATGCCACCTCCTGTGGTCTCAAGGCTCTGGCCAGTACCATTGCTGGTGAGGGCTTGGAGGTTTGTCGTCGCGCATGTGGTGGTCATGGATACAGCAGCTACAGCGGCATTGGACCAGCCTACGCGGACTATTTGCCCACGCTTACATGGGAAGGTGATAACTATATGTTAACCCAGCAGGTTGCACGTTATGTATGTCACAGTTCTGTCTTCCATTCTAATCACTTGTGGCTGACAGTATCAACAGCTTCTTAAATCTGCCCGCGCTGCCCTAGCTGGTAAACCGGCTGGCAATGACACTAGCCAGATTTTCCAGACATACCTTGACCGACGCGACAAGGGAGCTTCGTTCGATGTGCTCGATGAAGACAAGGACATTGTGGCTGCCTTTGCATGGCGCACAGCCCATCTGACTTTCGAGGCTCTGAAGCATCGTGATGCTGAGCAGCGCTCCTGGAACAGCCTTTTGGTTGACTTCTGGCGCTTGTCTACGGCTCATTCTCAGTACTTGATGGTGAAAAACTTCTACGAGGCGGTTTCCTCTCCCCAGCTCTCAGCGGCCTTGGATCCGGAGACTAAGGCCCTTATGCACCAATTATTCCGACTATTCTCGCTGCACACTCTTGAGCGCGAAGCGTCTGAGTTCTTCTCTTCGGGTGCCGTTACTGTGCGACAGATCGCTCTAGCTCGCACCACTGCGGTGCTAAAACTGCTCGATGAAATCCGCCCGCATGCTGTCCGATTGGTTGACGCTTGGGCAATTCCGGACTGGCATCTGGACAGCAGCTTGGGCCGCTATGATGGCAAGGTGTACGAGGATCTGTTCCGTCGGGCAAGCGAGGAGAACCCTGTTAACGACTTGGTATTTGATCCTTACCCATGGAATTCCGCATTGCTCAAGAATGAACCGACCAAGAGCAAACTGTAAAAATTTTGTTTTGCGATATACATGCTTTTCTGATGTATTTCTTACGCCTTTTTGATTTGAAGTATAGACCATAGAGAGATGAGCTATATACCTAGATCCCATAGAATGGCCAATGGTTGTGTTCTAAAAAAAATTCGAAATCAGACATTCCCTTAAAGAACAATATTTACACTTCATTTGGATAGTCGAACGGCCCAGATCGGGTGCTTGGTCTTGGCCATGTTGAAGAGCCCATTAATGAGATTTTACATCCCAACTACTCTAATCCCTTGGCGTCAACAAGAAACTATTTCCCGAGGTCACTCTGTCCACTGGCTAGTGAAATCTTCTCAGAACAATGTACTCGCCTTCTAGTTGAGACAGATCTGTAACCACTTACTTGGCGATGACGTACGATGATAGTCGTATTGATGTTAAAGGATAAAGCCCGGGTGGGCTTCCTTAATGGAAAGCCGGCCCACCCCCTCCCCCCAACCGCCCTCCTACTCCGCCACAATAGAGAAGATCAACCACGGAATAGCCAGTGTTAGGACTGGGCAAGTGCGCAAAAATGGCTTCTATGATACTCTCATTATTCATACAGTCATCAACGACTTGAATGCCTGCGCTATGGATAAGAACCACGGTGTTGAAGTACCTGCTCCCCATATTGGTTACTAATGTATCGCTGTGGTCTTTGATCAGTTCTGCTTCAGTTATAGGCATCACTTGCGTAACTTTTGTTGAAGGCTAGGTAAGTCGTATCTAGGTCTGCGTGATGGAAATCAGAATTTCACAAGACAGAGGGAGGTGTCATCAGAAAAAGCCTAGCATTGAAGTGCAACCATTAGACCGTCTATATAAACAGCCCAATTGTGCCTCAAATCTCCTGCAACATGTACGAGGGGAGGTAGGCTGGCGAGGCTCATATGTAAATAAAAATTTTGCCGTGGGTGTCACGATACGGATACGGTGAGTTAGTATGGATGTATACATATTTCTGTCCACAGAGACACGAGTAGATGTGACGTGTGCTTCCGCGTTCTGCTAGAAGCATAATATATTAGCCTAGCTATTTCGGACATTAGTCTAAAAGATACTCTGTTAGTACGGTGTAATAGTGTGGTTAAAAATATATATAGACAGCGAACTCTGGTTTCGGTTCCAAATACAAAGCATATATACATAGGTCAGGCCCCTGTTGCCGTATTAGAGACACTGCTGGAAGTTCGAATGAATGGTAATAACTTCAAAGCAGTTAAATAGAGCTGATAAGAAAAAGAAAAGGAAAATAGCCAGTGGTTAACCCAGGTGAAGCACCGAGAAGGCAATAGTTCGATGCAGCTCTATGAATGTAATTTACCCGACCTTTGCCACCAATGTGCGTGCTACTATGTACATAAAATGAGCTTATTTGGCTCTTTGATTCAGTTCAAAGTACTTCATATTCCTAAAGCTCATAATATTTTGATCCGGCTTGTCCGTCGCACCGCTGTCTCGCGGGTAGCGGCATATTCAGCAAGTCGATGCAATAGGCACTTGCACGATGCTAGTAAGGAAAATATGTTCATAGGTTAAAAGAATCCCAGACTTACTGAGCATGTTGAAAATAAGTTGAAATAAATGGGCCAACAAAATGACACGCTTTTGAACCCGATGGGGAGAACTCTGTGCTCACCATGTTGATATGACTTAACATATATTGTAGAAGAAGCTGTAGAACAACAAAGGCCTTAAGCAAACAGAAATATCAGAAGTTAATTTCCAACGCTGATTGAAGCTGATTCTGATGAAATCCATAACATTCTCCACTTCTTCCTCTTTTCTACGCTATTTGTTCTTTTGTTTCTCAACCATCAGACATACAGTTTCAGGGATATATCTTGGCTTGGAACTCACAGATAGGCTAGACCTCATCTCTATCGGTCGCAAAGCCAACCCCTAATTTTCTACCCGTCTATCTGGGGGCATGACGTCGGTATGTCGATCCGTTGCGAGAAACTGACCGAGCTCGCCTTTGCAACATTGTGGAAAAGAAGGTAGAATCATAACCGGCAAAAGTGAAACCGTCTCACAATGGTATCATACAATCATCCGTGTCGAAGAATGGACTGGGGAGTCATCTGTAAGCTACGGTAATACCGCGGATAAATAGTATCTCGGTTAATAAAGGGCACACCGAATGCCCCGACTGGTTTTTCGGCGAACTTCAGGCCCGCCAATGACGCCGTACTCACCCCAGATTTTTGTGCCTTGGGTTTCCCCTCGCTACTCCACAATTCATTCCCGTTGATCTTTCCTGCTCCGAGGTTAACCTCCGGGTCCCGGAATCGTACCATGCAGCGTCGCATAGGCCGAGTCAACATGCCGAATCGTGCATTGACCTGTCGATCTGCCACTACTTCACTTATAAAACGCCTTGCCGCAAGCCCAAGGCTTCGACTGACAACCCTCATAGTCCAACCGCAATCATGTATACTATAACAAATATTTATGGTATTTCTTGTCCTGGCTGTTGCGATGTAGGCATGCGATACTAACATTACACAGTACTTGCCGCTTTTGGTACCATTGGAGGCGGTCTTTTCGGCTTCGATATTAGGTGTGTATATTCCTATCACGAGTTTCATAGTACGGAGACTAATATAAGCTATAGCTCGATGAGCGCCTGGATTGGTGTTGATACATACACAGATTACTTTGGCTCGCCAGACTCTAACCTCCAAGGCGGAGTACGTGATCTGAGTCTCCAAGTTCGCCTCAGGTGCTGACATTACACAATAGATTACAGCATCGATGTCTGCTGGTTCCTTCGCTGGTTCGATTGCTGCCGGTTGGTTAGCGGATATTCTCGGGCGTCGCTATGCGTTGATGATTGCCTCTCTGGTTTGGATCGTTGGTGCGATGATTCAATGCAGTGCACAAAATGTGACGCATTTGGTCGCTGGTCGTGTTATCAGTGGACTTGCAGTTGGTGTTACCTCCTCACAAACATGCGTCTACTTATCCGAGCTGGCGCCTGCTCGTATCCGTGGTCGCGTAGTGGGCATTCAACAATGGGCAATCGAATGGGGTATTTTGATCATGTACTTGATCGCATATGGCTGTGTCGTTGGTGTATCTGGACCAGCCGCTTTTCGGATTTGCTGGGGTGTGCAGGCCATTCCAGGCCTCATCCTGTTCATCGCTTTATTTTTCTTCCCCGAGTCCCCTCGCTGGCTTGCCTCGCAAGAGCGTTGGGAAGAAGCATTGGATACATTAGCAATCATTCACGCCAAAGGTGATCGCCATGACCCGGTTGTACAGGTAGAATTCGAAGAAGTCCAAGAGGCTGTGCGTGTGGCGCATGAATCTCAAGGTGTCACGTTCCTAGCATTATTTGGACCTCGTGTTTGGAAGCGCACGATGTGCGGAATGAGCGTTCAAATGTGGCAACAGCTTCTGGGCGGTAATGTTGCTATGTATTATGTGGTTTACATTTTTGAAATGGCTGGCATGGTGCGTTTCTCTCAGAAGCCAAAGAAAAAGAAAAAGAAAAAACAGAACTTGAGCACTTTTGCTAACATCAAATACAGACTGGTAACACTACACTTTGGTCCTCTGCTATTCAGTACGTCATCTTCTTGGTGACTACAGGCGTTATGCTTCCCTTCATCGATCGCGTTGGACGAAGAAAATTACTTCTTCTCGGAGCTGTCATCTGCATGGTTTTGCATTTCATAATTGCTGGCGTAATGGCCAGCAAAGGCAAGGCAGTTCCAAATGTCAATGGCAATGCCAATTTGACATGGGAGATCAAGGGCAGCGCAGGAATGACAGTCATCGCCTTTTCATACATTTTCACCGGCATCTACGGCTTAACGTGGGTATGTGATATTTATTATACTTATACCTGACCGCATCTAATATTTTATAGGCTCCGACTGCATGGATTTATGCCGCTGAAGTTTTCCCACTCAAGTACAGAGCGAAGGGCGTCGGCTTGTCGGCGGCCACCAACTGGATTTTCAATTTTGCTCTGGCGTACTTTGTGGCACCAGCCTTCCACAATATTCAGTGGAAAACTTATATCATTTTCGGGGTATTTTGCACTGTCATGACTTTCCACGTGTTCTTCACATATCCTGAGACTGTGGGCAGGTCTCTCGAAGAGATCGACCTAGTCTTTGAGACGGATATTAAGCCATGGCGCACTCACGAGATGGGAGATGTGTTTAGAGAAGAGATTGAACGCCGCGAGAAGGTTAGTGTCAAGATAGAGACTAGTGGTGCAACTCATGAAGAGGTGGTTTGAATCAACGCTGGATGATGGTTCCTTAACCAACCCAGCAACACATGGGCGGCCACCAATATATCATATTAGGAATAAATTAACAGAAGCATTTGATAATCCTATCATTATATTCCATAGTACAAGTATCATCCAAAGCACAAAATAGTTTAGTTTAGAGATGGCGCACCCGTTCTCATTCGATGAAATCTATAACAGTGGGTATCTTAAGGACAGGACTCGAGATGGCAAGAAAATGTATTATCAAATGGAGGAATAACGGGAGAAACATATCATTCAATGAAACTGTAATGTTGCAAAAATATTATGTGGCCAAAGTGATCAAGAATCATGGAAGAAAGAAAAATACAGTGCAACAAGGGATATCAGAGTATTAGACTTCGACAAATTTGCCAAATAGCTGTAAAGAAATACAGTAGTATCTATTATAATAGGTGATCTCGACTAAAAAAAAGGAATCATCCCGAGCCCATCTCTTCTCACTAGTGTGTTCTCCTTGTATCGTTCTACATGTTCAGTGTAGCTCTAGTGGTGAGCTATACTCTCCTTGAGTAGGAAGCTTGCACGACAGATAGCATCATCCTCGGCATCATCGAGAGTACGCAAGAGTTCACCATTAGGACCATAAATATAGGTCTCAGTATAAGCGAGCATCTAATATACTAGTAGTTTTGCGGATTATACAGTCCATCTCTTCCAGTAAGCACATGGTAGGCTTATAGAAGAAAAGAATAGGGACACGATAGCAGCATTGCCAAGTCGAGTCAGTAAAAACCCTAGTGGTAGGTGACAAATGACTTAGATCACATCGAAACCAACGCAGAACTTGTGGTCAATGCTTTCAAAAGCAACTAGAGTAATCATACCATGAAATTCCAAATCCAATTGGAAAAAATAGACAATGCGTTAGCGGGGGCACGAATCTTCAGTGGAATAGTCTTGGCTAGATCCAACCATTTCATCGTAAGCCGTCCGATGATAAAAAAAAAGGTGTAAAACACAAACAAAAAATACTGTTTGGGCCACACCTACCTTGCTTGACATCTATAGGAATACGTTTTTAGCTTGAGGAAATTCTGTCAGCGACGGAAATCACCGCCATGCAGATCGACATTCCGAAAGCTCCGAGAAGCATGAGTATTCAACGGTGAACGCTACCGATACTACGGTCACGAATAGGACGGAAAGTAATCTAAACAGGAGGCCCAAGGATATACCCAGAGGTGAGCTCCAGTGTCCAATTAGTAGTAAGAATATAGCCAGAAGAAGAATAAATTTCAGTGCACATCGCCTCCAGTGCATTCCTCGGAATAATATTCGTTGATGGATGAAGATTCCTAAAAGATCTGCTGGCACCAGAAACTGTTACTTAGGCTCCCCTTCTATCTACCCCTTCAAAATGGGGCTTGAGATACTTGTTATTGCGGATTCCCCTTGTATATATTTGTCAAGGGCAATCTTCTGTTCCCTTAGCACCCAAATCAGATCAGATCAGAATCCTTCAAATCCATAAACATCAATTAGTGTAATTTAAAGAGTGCTGTCGTGGCCTTGTGGCTACCTAAGTTTTCTGTGCCTGCAACAACCAATTTGCAGTTCATAAATATGAATCTCGTACTAAATAGTAGCGCAGTCATAATAATTCTTGGAATACACGATGATAAAACTTTGCTTAACTACATCCACGGCTAAACGTCTTTGGCGAAATATAAGCCTTCCTAGTCACAGACCCCTAAAATAAAGTAGGGCATTATCCGATGACGCATCTCAGGCCCATTAAATGTACCATGAATTTTGAAAGCATATACGATCTTTGTCTTGACAACAAAGAGAAACACGATGCTTTGTGCGAATCAGTCGGTTATACGGAGTACAGGGGTGACACATTGATTTTGATCGGTATGTTCGTAAAAACTTAGGCTAGAAAAGCTACACACTTGTGATCAAATCAACGGTAACAGCAATTTCTTTAAAAAAAAGCGAAAAACAAAGTTGTGGGTGTAGTGTAGGAATGAATGATCATTTACGGAGTACAAGGACTGAATCTCGATACCTTCCACTTTGGGTCGCCGACGACCCTCTTGCTCGAAAGTTCACGAGGATATTCGAAGTTTGTTAGGTTTCCAAGCCATTTATTGCAAATAGTTTGAATTGCCTGGCTATAATAGGCCCTGTGTTTAGTGAGGTTACAGTCTCGCTGGAATGCAGGGTCCCGAGATTCATCATGTCGGAAGAGTGATCGACTTCGAGTAACGAACAACGTCGAATGATAAAGCCTTTACCATTAAATCAATTACTCAACTAGAAAATTCTTATTTTCTTTGTATCAAGACTGATATCCCTTGAGCAACGCATGGATACTGCTTAGGTCTAGCAAGCATCTTGCCAGGGAAAAAGTACGGCATACCAATCGACCCAGCAAGAATGTCACCAGATGAAAGTAAAAGCCCCGGCCATAAATCGAGATAAAAGCCCCTTGCATAATTTATCGGGTTACATCCGGCTGTAGTAATGTACATAGGTACATAGATGTCCTACAAAGAAAGTACGGTATATCCACCATTAGATTTAATGTGCCTACTTCAAACACCCTTGAGATCTCCCCGCAGATGATTCGATCAAACAGTTTTAACAACAACTGGAGGATTTAACTTGCAGTTTAATGGCAGGCAGTTCAAGCATGAGGAGTTCCCACGCTCAAGTTTACACAAATCGAGATGACATCCCATTGAAAGAGCTTGGAACTGAAGAGAGTGACGATGATGAAGAAAAGCAAGTCTATCCACCAAGCTCAAAGCTTGCTCCGATTTTGATAGGACTTTGCTTTCAATCCTTTTGTATTGCTTTGGTAAGCTTCAAGTTATTATAACTATTTCATGAGCTAATCTAGACGACTTACCAGGACAACACAATCTTGTCAACTGCTATTCCCAAGATCACTGAACAATTTAACTCACTAGGCGATATATCTTGGTATGCCAGTGCTTATCTTTTGACCACATGTGCCGTCACCCTACCATTTGGCAAGATATACACATATTATTCGACAAAGTGGACATATATGATTGCTCTCGGCGTGTTTGAGGTTGGGTCTCTGATATGTGCACTTACACCTACATCGAAGGGATTAATTTTTGGGCGAGCAATTGCCGGCATCGGATCTGGGGGATTGTCGCCGGGTGCTCTACTCGTGCTCGCGAATAGTGTGCCCCTGCACCGGCGTGCCCTCTATTTCGGAATTGTCGGTAGCACTAGTGGGATTGCGACAATCACAGGACCGCTGTGAGTCTTGTTATTTCATCAGCATAGAATGGCGGCTGACTTAACCACAGGCTCGGGGGTATCTTAACGGATCATGTTAGTTGGAGATGGTGCTTTTGGATAAATCTACCTTTTGGTGTCCTCACTGGCCTTGTGATTTTACTTTTCTTCAAGGATTCCACATCGCCGAAACCAAAAATAAGTCGCCTTGGGCAGTTAAAACGAATGGACCCTCTCGGTGTGCTTGCATTTATCCCCGCAGTCGTCTCCCTTCTATTGTGCTTGCAATGGGGCGGTACGAGATACAGCTGGAACAATTCTCGAATAATTGCTCTATTTGTTCTGTTCGGCGTATTCGGCTTTGTATGGTGCATTATCCAGGTCTGGAAGCAGGATGATGCTACAGTACCGCCTCGTTTACTCAAGAATCGAAATGTGCTTGGGGCAGTGATTCACGCTACTTTCCTAGGCGGTTCATTTTTTGTCTTTGGGTACTATGTGGGTTCTGAATTTAATCCTCTCAACTTCGTTGCTAACGGGTTTCCAAGCTCCCTATCTGGTTTCAAGCTGCCAAGGAAGATTCTGCATCAGAATCTGGAATCAACAATCTTCCGATGGTGGTGGCTATGATTGTATTCTCTGCTCTAGGAGGACTACTTGTGAATATCATTGGATATTATACGCCGCTCATGTTCGCTGGAAGTGCATTTCTCACGATTGGCTCTGGGCTGTGTACAACCTTCAAGGTGGACAGCGGACATCCACAGTGGATTGGATACCAAGTCGTTCTTGGAATTGGAGCAGGGCTTGGCTTTCAGCAATGTATCAACGCACTTCAGACTGTGCTACCATTACGGGATATACCGATCGGAATTGCTATCATCACATTTGCACAGAGCCTCAGCGGCGCAATGTTTATTTCGATTGCCCAAACTGTTTTTGAGAACCGCCTTGTCGTCAGCATAACGGCCAATGCTCCCAGCGTCAGCCCAGAGGCTTTAATAAAAGCCGGGGCCGCAAATCTATCCCGACGAGTGCCCAAAGATATTCTTCCCTCCGTTCTATACGCTTATAACATTGCCATCATCCAGACATTCTACGTGTCTGTTGCTGGCGCATTATTATCGTTTATTGGTGCTGGACTTGTTCAATGGAAGTCCATGAAAAGACGACAGAAATATGACGGCGCTGGTTGATCCAGTGAATAGCGGGAATTGGCAGCTTTTTTATTGATTGACATTCTGTCTTTTCGGGTTGTTCCTGAATACTTTCCGTCGGGGTACCACCTGTAAACAAGGCAGTGCCAATCGCCAGGAAAGCGAATACGTATGACATGTGACATGAATTCCAGCTCTGATCTCAATCTAAGACCCAATACGGAGTACAGCCGGTTGAGATGCGTTGGCTATGATAGTTAATACAGGCAAATCAAGCCCCAATGAAAGTAAAAATCAAACTTTACATATGAGACATCAGAATAATATAAAAAACCCAGGGATGGAAGGCTCCTCGCCTCAACCCAAAATATGTGATCAAAAGAATAGAAAGAACGGAGAAGTACATCATCTTGGCAGCTGAATGCAGCTAGTTGCGACTGGGGGTCAACTTTCAAATTACCTAACGGCATGTGTTGAGAAACTATTTCTACTGGTACACAGTATGCAGTACTATGGAGTGTACTATTGTCTTTGAGAAACTATTCTCGTCTGTAGGTTGGAGTTGTAACACTTCCCCGCCCAAGACAGGAGATTGCGGACAACACGAAGATACTGAAATGGCCATTCTATGGACGGTGTATCATCTAGATCAATAATATGAGCCATTCGGGTATTCTAGTCGAGAGCATTGGCATCTGGCAATAGCTATGAACAGTCCGGGGAACAACGGACTGCCATGGGCTCCTTTCTGTTTTTGCGAATATGGAAAAACAGAACAAACATCAGTAAATCATCTCATTTTTTTCTTATCTTTTTTCATTTCTTCTAGCCTAGAGAATGCAGCAAGTCTCTGGGAGCTCGGAAGCCTTTTTAGTACCAGCACCACGGCTGCCGCCAGTAAATCAGTCTCCTAAGGGAATTGTGGATGTTCTTTCCAAGCCCTGACTCGGATGCGGTGGCTATCCAGGGTAGAGACTAGCCAGGTAGCACGGCTCATCCATGGCACATCCGCAAAATCAGACTGGTATTCAGAAAGAACTGCCTCTATTCTAGCCAACTGGACCAGATTATCTGATGTTGCCCAAGCAACAACTAAGCATAGAGGAATATAACCTGCCCCAACCGGTCAGTAACGAGATGCCAGCTCAGCTTGGATTGTAATATCATCAAAGAGGAGTACAGCTTCACCCACTAAGGAAGCGTTCCAGGTATCAAAATTTTGAAGGAGACTGTTCATCAGCACAGCCAGCGTCGAGAGAATGGCATGAGCTGCTTAAATACGAGAATGTCTCACAGCTTCGGAGGATGAGATGAGCACAAGAATGGTCTCTGGACATTTATCAAGATGTGGCCTTATTTGCTGGCCATCAAGTCTCAGCTGTATGTATGTCTTTGCAATTTTGGCATGTTGCAGCTCAGGACTTTTGACAAATTGAGGAAACATAGCGAGATGTTGTAGCTCAATGGTTGATTGCAGCTGATTGTTGGCCCGCAAGGCAGATAAACCAGGTTTGAAGGATGAGATCAGTTCCCAAAATTCCGAATCCATCTTGATTCGGCGGTCGAAAATGCCCTCTAGTATTTATTCAAATCACTGCTTGTATAAGTAATTTCTCGTGACATCGTCCGAAGTTGTTGTTGAGAGCAATCAGAATCTAGACATACTATAGGAACACAAAGCGTGGTGACCATCGCCATTTCAGAGGTGCCTTTCCACTCATTCAATGCAGCAGCCCTGAGGATATGGGCTATAGCTTCACTGTGATTAGTCAGCGAATTATCATGTTTTCCTAGCCAGCTCTTACGGCAATTAATTAACGATCAACTCCTGTTTTATGGAATTCGCGTTTGGGGGGTTGAAAAGCTCGATCAGATCGGGCTAAGTGGAATGACCTGGCAGATGGTAGTCAAATAAACAGCACACAGTGTGTTAGGAGTGCGGGCCTCGACTGGATTGTTCAAGCATTCTCTCAGGTCCCGCAGCGATTTTCCATATCGGACGAGTACATTTGGTGGGTAAATGCCCGTGTGAAGAAATGGGTAAGCGGTTGATAAAGCTCTCACGGCTGAATCTAGGACGGTGCTGTTGCCCAATCGTCGTGGAATATCCTGGAGAAAATGTCCATAGTAGGCCACAGCATATAGGATATACTATGATGCATCTGAAGAAGAACAAGGTGAGCAGGCCCTTCCGGAATGGAACAATATTCGGAGTTTTCTACCAAGCCTCACATCCACCCTATAAGTATTGCTACTACGGAGTAGAAGTAGATTTTTCTTTCCTGTCAATTGAAGAATTTTAAATGATTGTGACAGGCACAAATATTTGCAATCGGAATCTGCTAACAAGTTCCAGTGCGAGCTGGGAGCCAAGCTGCATCCATACACTATGTCTGAATTCGTTATCAATGAGGGATTTGGAGATATAATTACAGAATATCAAGGTGATTAGATGCAGATGAATAACTAGGTAATGTGGAACATTATTGTAGCCAATCAAATGGGCTTGGGCGGGTGAATACAGGCCAGGAGTCACATGGATCTGCTCTCTGACACGAGAAGATGGCCCTTACCCATCTATCTGGCTTACGGAAATGAGACTTCGCAAAGCACAGTCTACTCGTATGCAGCGATGATAGCGGAGATCCCACTATTCTGAGAGCGCCAAGAACTTTTTGAAGAGTGAGATTTGTCGAGGTTTTGCTGGTCTAGAACTGACAAGGAGAGAAGAGATTTGTTCTTTATCAACAAACAGAAGCTAGCTAAACAGCTAGTCCAAGTCTGACCCATCTATCAGATGGTCTGTCTCAAAAGGAACGAATCATGTTTGCTTTCTTCAATATGAGACACCCACCACCCTAGCTTCAAATTTGCTTGACTGGGTTTGCTCTTCTCCCAATATCATTTCGTTTCGTTCATTTGCGAGATGAGATAATTCATGTTAGCTTATAGCTTTAAGAAATGACAGAAAATAGCCTATTGTTCCATATAAACGCATATATGAATAAATACATAGGATATATAACTACATATGTAGAAAGGATCCTTCACATCAATACGAGGAATGGATTTCGCAAATCACGAAATTGATTCAATCGCTAGCCAGTCTACTGGATAAATCTGGAGTTGTTTTTGCCTTGAATGTCGTATCTTGTTATTAAAGCAGCGTAAAGTTCTAGTTTTATCCGACTTGGATATAAAATCCTGTGGATGTCTTCCTCGGTTGGTACCATTCCTGTTCCTAGTACGGAGTAGTGGCGAGCGATATCACTCTATCCGATTCGTCCCCCGTAACAGGGTACGCGGCGAACTGGGTACGAGTACGAGTACGATGTACAACGTAGAGAGAAAGGGTGTTGATTGTACACCCTTAAAATATCTCTCTTTTCAGGGCGTGGCGATATTTTTTGGTTATTTTATGTTAATGCATTTAAAAGCCCAAAGAGATGAATTCCCCGTGTTAAATGGGTTTATCTGGGGGAACCGAGGCTTGAGGCTGTAAAAGCACAGACCCCACAGAATCTGGGGGGCCACGCAAGCAGTGAGACAGCCTATTGGGAATTGACAACAAATCCCTATCATGCACTTTTTGGAAGTGAATTTTGGTGGAAATTTCACTTGCGCCACGCTGACTAGGGCTGACCAGGCGGAAGAAATCTAGTGTCTAAATCCGGAGTAGCGTATTTTAAATGTGACTTGGCTAAAATGGAGCCTTGGACCCTTTAGAGGATTTCAGTAAAGACGGCCTCAGGGCATATCTGGTTGTCTATGGGTACATATGTATTGTAGCACAAAAATAAAAAGTAAGACGCCTTTCCCGAGGTCGGCAAACCCTATCCTAACGAGAAGTAAAAAAAAAAAAGGAAGAGAAATCAAGAGATGATCGGAATATTGCAGTTCATGGTGCATGAAAAGGCGAACTTGTGTCATAGCTTGGATGTTCATTATATCTCAAGATTTCTAAGTATATTGGAGCCCATCAGGGCAAAATGCTGTACAACTCAACTTATCCTCCCCCTCAAACCCATTCTATGTCTTTGGTTTGGGCCAGCCATCGATGTCTCCGAACCATCGCGACCGATAGATTTCATTCCCTTTCATGATCTGGTGACGTACACCATCGACCACAAGACTAGTATAATTCCCTCGGAATAACTTCCATAATGACTGAGTGTATATGAAGCTTCCATCAGGGGCGAGACTGAAACCCTTGAGGTCGGATTGCGGCAACTCCACATATTGTCCCTGGCGGTTGGTCCCGTGACGATCGTTGGTGGTGACCTCGAAACCGGGCATATATTTTTCTACGACTTCGTCGTATTCAGCGGTAAACTTCATTTGATCGATATCAAAAGCGTGGAGACCGATATCGTTGGAAACGAGGAATACTCGTTCGTTGGGGACGGGGACGAGATCATGGGGGCCGGCCCACCAGCTGTATCCATTTCCCCATTCAGCGTCGATGTCATAATATTCAGGGAATCGGAATCGATAAGCTTCATCGACGCTAAGTAGACCCGTCTCGGCATCGAAGGGGTATCCCTGAATGACACCGTATGCGGGAACGGGATCTGAGCCATCGGCGGCGGCATCGGTTCCGGTCGCCCACAGCATCTGGCCCTGCTCATCCCAGATCATGGCATGGATGGCACGGAGACCTTCGATCTTTTGTAATACCGGAGGTTCATCAACGAGGGGGAGAGCCTCACTCATATTGTAGACCAAAATACCATCCCAGGGTCGTTGTCCAGTGGTTCCGACGGCGAGACGATCCCCGGGTAAGGGCTCGATGGTATGGGCATTATGTAAAACATCATTGGCTCTGTTGAGGGCGAAGGTGATTTTTTTATCGGTGGAAGGATGATCGGGAGTGTGGTTGACGACGATAACCAGAGCACTGTAGACGGCAGCAACACTTTTCCCACCTCGCATCCACTTCATATCGGTCGCATCGTTGAAATGGCTATATAAACCACTCTTAATTAAAGGAGGTAAGGGTTGAGTGACATCTTCTCGCTGCCAACTCCATTTGACGACACTGTTCCGATCATGAATTTTCAATACGGGAGGGACAGCATAATGACCAGTGATGATTTCTTGCCAGGGCCCCTGTGCAGGAATAGTTATATCATTTTCTGCCTTGAGTCTTGGTTGAGGTTGGATGAGAGGGACTTGAAAGGCCAGTGGCTCAAAAAGGAGTGAAAGCCAACCGAATAAGCTCCCTAACATGATGTGATATAATATCAAGGGACCTCGGGAAGAGAATGGGAGAAACTTGGTGGGTAAAAATGGATAAGGGAGACCTGATTATTATTATTTTTTTTTTCTATTTTTTTCTATTTTTAATCTATTTTCTCTGTTTAAAATACATACCATACATAATAATATCTAATAATAAATCTCTTTTAGGTCAAATTTACTACCTACTGTACTATATTAATTCCCGGATTAGCGGGGGCATTGGGCTTTTCTTGGCTTGGGGGCTTAGAGGGCTTGGGCGGGCGCTTGAGGGGCTTGAGGGGCTTGAGGGGCTTGAGGGGCATTTGGATCCATTTACTCCGTAGAGGAATCCCTTAGGATTTAGACCATTTAGACCATTTGGGGGGGATTTGGGGGATGGGGAGAATGGCAATTTTAGGGTCACACTCACAATTACCCTATTAAGAGATATATAAGGTACATAGTTAAGAACAAATAATATATGTATATATGTATAGTATATATAATGTATCTTTTCAAACAGTGATTAAATCCAATCAAATTCATTCAAAATCAAACATATCATACATATTATGATAAATGTACAAAGTACTACAAAGTACTAAAAGTACTAAATAGTAAAAATATAACCACAGTCATCATATCTCCACTAAATCCCACCTGGCCATTTCTTGGCCTTCGCAAAGACCCTTCCTCTCTTTCTTACTTCTTCTTCTTCTTCTCTCTTTTAAATGGGGGTTGTATATACATTTTTTATACATATATCATGAAAGTCGTTCACGCTGTTCATGCTTATTTAAGCCACGGCATCCGGCGTGCTCGTCAATCTCCTGCGGAGACTTGGGATGCCGTCTGGGACTTTGCTCGTCGTTATTTTTTCACTTTGGCCTTCTTTTCTTTATTCACTGCCAAATTATTGCATCTTTATGCTCATTTATACTCTCTACCTCTTCCCCGATTCTTTCTATGGGGTCTTACCTTCTTTTTTCAAGATGTGATGATTCTATTGTTGTTTCGTATTCTCGTTCAGAAGGTCGCGTGGCGACCGGGAGCTGCCTTGCTTGCAATCTTAGTGATCCCGTCTAGGTAAGTGTCCACGTGCCCCCTTTTTTTTCCAACTTCATTTTGGTCTTTTTGATGGTCCTTTTTTTTGGAAATGGATTTAGAGATTGAAATCGAATGCAATGCAATGAAGAAAAACAAATATTAAAAAAAAAAAAAAAAAAAAAAAAAAAAAAAACAAATATGCTGATGATCATGCAGTTTAATTGTCTCTTTCATGGCTTCCGCCAATATGTCATTCTATGTGTTCACCGGTGCCGAGATCCACTGGCGCCAAGCCAAATCCTTCAATGGTGATGCTGCCGCCATCCACACCCTCCTCTCCGGATTAACTGGCTTTTTGGTTGTCGAAGGAATCCTCCTCACAATCTCTTTGTTCGCTGCCCATTCCATTCATGCACTCTCGGGAGGAATTCTTCATGTCTGGGCCTGGCCCATTCGCTGGTTGTTTGCTCGCGTGCGACCGCACGTGGAGCCTCTGGTCCAGCGATGCTGGCGATCCAAATCCAAATCTCCAGCGACCGATCTTCCCGATCCTCGAATCTACGAACAGATCAACATGGATGACAACGATGATATCAGTGATACCGAAGAGGGAGACCATCTGTTGAATGCCGCTCAACTACCCAACCTACCCAACCGCCTCCCGGAGTCCAAGCGAGTCACGGATGGCGTTCCCCAACGGGCCCTAATCCTAGGATTATTTAGTCTCTTCCTCTTCCTCCGGTTTCTGCGACCGTGGGATCCGATATATATGTACATGTCTACCACCTTGCCCTTGACTACGGTTATTGAAGGCGCCGAGCGTCACTCCCCTGTCGATACCACTGGCACCCCGGGAAATTTACATTATTTGGATGGCGCAACTGCATTGCGCCCCGCTCCCCGTTGGAGCTGGATGTCAAAGGAACCCATCGCTGGTTTCGAGGACTGGGATCAATCCGATCCCCTAGTCCTTCACTACGACCCGAAAGAGGACCCGTTGCACATCTCCAACCTCGACAGGCCGGTGCTGAAGGAGATTCACAATGCATTGGCTAGTGGCGATGTCAAGATCAAACATGTCGTTTTCTTGAAGCTCGAGAGTGCGCGTGCCGATATCTTCCCCCTACAAAAAGACAGCTTTATGTACAAACGCATCGCCGAATCATGGAAGGACAAGAAGATTCCCCCAAATGTTGTAGACCGTCTTGCAAACCTCACTCGGACTGCCGAGTTTTTGACCAACTTCCCCACCGGATTTGAGCACGACGATGCCCGTTTCGGCCGCAAAGCCTATGGTGGCATCAGCGCCAGGGATGCCATCACGACTGCCACATACACTCTCAAGAGTTTGACAGGAAGTTTCTGTGGCGTGACGCCACTGGTCGCCGATTTCAATCGCGAATTCGACCACCATATCTACCAGCCATGTCTGCCCCAGGTCTTTGATATGCTCAGCCAGCAACCGGATATTACCAGCGAGTCGGACGACTTCACCAAGTGGCCGTGGCATTCCACCTTTATGATGTCTGTCACCGAAATGTACGACAACCAGAACAAACTGACCCCTCAGTTGGGATTCCGTGACAAACAGACCAAGGAGACCATCATCAAGCCTGAAGCCAAGTATTATCCCGTCAAAAGTGCAGAGGTGAACTACTATGGCTATCCGGAAACCGAGCTTCGGGAGTACATCCGTGATGCCATCGATGATGCGGAACGTGATCACCAACGTCTCTTCCTCACCCATCTCACGAGTACCACTCATCATCCGTGGGGAATTCCGAACGAGGCCTTTGAGGAGATGATGGGCTCAAAATCCGGTTCTAACAACGATATGAATCGATTCCTGAACTCGGTCGGTTATGTGGATGATTGGATCTCGAACCTCATCGATATCCTGGAGGAGAAGGGAGTTGTTAATGAGACCTTGTTCGTCATGGCTGGAGATCACGGCCTTTCCCTCCCCAACGATGGCGGTATCACTCCCTATGATAACCCCCATGTGGGCAGTTTCAAGGTCCCTATCGTGATTGCACACCCTCAACTCCCACCCGTCCAGATCGACACCCCAGTCATCAGCAGCCAGATCGTCCCTACCATCATCGACTTGTTGATCGAGTCGGCTTCCCTCAGCCAGGACAGCACACGGTCCGCCCGCGATATTCGCTCGTTGTACGAAGGTCAATCCCTGATCCGACCGCAGGTCGTCGAGCAGGACGGACGCGAAGCCTGGCATTTCACAGTCATGAACACCGGTGGTTCATGGCTATCTGTTCGGTCCGCCGCCCGGCCGGAGTTCCGCCTGGTGATTCCGCTAGTCAACGACGTAGAATGGCGTTTTTCCGATGTGTCCAAGGACCCGAACGAGCTGAGCCCGATCTCGCGTTTTAGCCTTGCCGATCTAGCGGCCGCCATCGAGAAGGAATATGATGAAAAAACCCTCGAGTGGCTATTCAACGCCTCCTATGTCGCCAACTGGTGGGTCTTAGAGAACTGGGACCGGTGGAGATTCTCCCCAAAGGCCGAAGAAGAGGCTAAAGAACACAAAACCTAAGCATTCTCATATGAGCCGACTTGAGTGCGAATCTTTATTTACATTTCCATCCATCTTAATACTTGCATGCCTCATCTACCGAGCGTCTGCTTGGGATGGGCACTCCGGGTTTGCGATAATGCCATCATGGCGGGACCGGCCAGTATTGGTGATCAGGTCCCGAGCATGGGAGTCGGGAGCGTGCCGAGCACAGCTTCTCCGGATCTATCGATGAAGCCGTTTGCTGGTCATTTGGTTCGGCGTCAATCTCGGGAATGAGACACAGTGTGTCCCAGAACGTGAGCTCCCGACACATAAGTCTGGCATGTCGTCCGGAGTAGAAGCGATTCTTCTTCCTGTACTTGTTTATATATCCATCCTATCTATTGCGAACACCTGTACTTATCATCACTGGATGTCTCTTTTTTTTGTTGTATATCGCACATATCCTCCTCGGTTCTCTCGCGTTAACAATCTTTTTCAATCGCATAGATGTGGACTTCTTTAAGCATGAACAGGCTGCGGTAAAGTGACTACATATGTAAATTAATCGGTCATTAGATGGGTTTCTTTCGGCTTATATTAACTTTCAAGGCGTTCGAGCGATCTACAATGTACTAGTAGTGGATGGTACCTGCCCGAGTACTACGTACCGGTTTGCTGTTTGCGGGATGAATATGTGATGTATTCGTATAGCCCCCACTTCTCTACAATATAAAATTTACAACTTCCCTTCAGTCTTGTAAGTTAGAATCCACTTGAATTAAAAATTCCCTATCAAATCACATGGCTAGTTAAAGCCAAGTACCTGAGGATCGAGCTGGAAAAAAGAAAAGATAGAAGTGTCGAATTCTACCCTCCGGATTTATGACGCCGCCAAAATGGGGAACGGTATCACGCTCAAACCGGCTCCTGACATCATGTGATTACTTATAGGTACTGTGCATATATGCTCTATACAAATTCTACGAGTTGCTGATATGTGAATGACCTTAGAAATCTACTCCCTGGTTATGCATAGAAACACTGCGGAGGATCCCGATTCGGCATTCTGATATTCTCGGAAGTGAAGGAGAATCCTTGTCTTTTCCTAACTACATCTATTCTTCCTACATACATGTAGGTCACCTTCAGTTTATCGATTTACCTCATACTTGTTATACATATTAAACAGTAGAAAATAAATGGACAGGCATAATCTTGCATTCACTGGAGATTATAGAGCCCATCCTTTTGTTCAGAGTCGTATCCTCCGAGAATGAAAGCCGCTAGCCACGATAGAAGTTCTGAATTATGGTACGCAGTTGCGAAGTGGAGAGAATGAACATTAAAGATCGATGTGTGCAAATTTGCATCCAGCTGGGGATGAGACAAGAGATCAACTAGGTATCTTTCGACCCCAGAATCATTCAAACTACAACGAGCAATGGTATAAGATAATGACGGAATAGTGCCAGTAGAAGCAGCACAGGGGCAACAGGTAGGCGAGTATCCATAGGGGTAGAGCAGATGAGGGAGCATAGGCTACTCCGATGACCTCGTGAACAGGCGAGAATGTGGACGGAAAGAAGATTGACCAGTTCGCGTCATCGATTTGAATTATTTCATGTCCAACAAACAATACTTCCTGCAACCATGTAGATTTATCAGCGACAGCTGCACGTAAAATATCGAGGATCTCCAGACTGCCAAACCCAGCAGCAGTATTTAGCGCTGTCAGAGCCTTTTGTAGTCGCAATCTTTAACCTCGAACATTTGGCTCCGTTCATCAAGGTCCTTCTAGATCAAGGGGCATAATCGATGGTTTATTCCTTTCTGTCGTGCCTTTGCAAAGGCCCGAGATTTGCACACTGCAAAGCTAGTGATATCGTATTTGAAATGGCGGCCACGGATGAACTGGACTGAATATTCTGCCATACCACAACGATATAAACAATTATTATCTGCTCCTGCAGCCTAGAGAAGATGAAAATTGCGTGACAGATGAGCGTTGGTGGTAGATATGATAGGCGATAGGTTTGAAGGCACGGGCATGACTCCATTCGGCCCTAAGTATTCTAGTTGGAAGCGTTCCCGCGAGATTACATCTCTTGTTTTCCTGCACTTAATGCGGCGCGCCGAGCCAAAAGGGCTTCCAGTAGAGCGAAATCTGGTTTGGCTGCAGTGCGGGTTATAGGAGTCTTTTGATCAAAGGAATCTTCGAGATTTTCCTCGGTGAGTTCGTACATGCTACGGGGAAGAGATTAAAAGAGAACGATAGGGCGAGCTCTTCGATCTTAGATATGTTCACAGTAATCTTCAAGCATTTAAATGAGTGAGGTTGGGAAAAAACAACCTTGGCAGTAGGGGTGACTATAGATGTTCAAGTCTGAAGTCGCCCGGGCATCTAGAAAGGAGTTGCTGCAACCCTGTAGGACAATTGATATCCCAATGTTGACTCAATAAAGGTTGATAGCGTTATGTTGCTCACCGAGGGCTTTTATTGGGAATTATGTGCCTTAATGGGAAACCACCTAGACACTCTTGGATCTCGGATTTCGTTGGAAAATTATTGCAATGATGAATCGTAGCGTTAGTAGCGGATATGTTGCTCAATTGTGTCCATCGACAAGGAAGAGCAATTTATGAAGATATGGACTTGGAAAACCATAGAAGGGAATGCAATCAACTTGAAGGCCATATGGAAATGTGTTTGACAACAGTTATTCATGCACATTAAAGTATTGCGCCAATGGTCATGGTACGTCCACAAGTAATATGTACAGAGGGACTCAATGTGAGACCCGAAAGTAAACAAACAGGGAAAGGAGAGTACTGGGTTCCGCCACTCCGATTAGATGCTGTTTGATCAAAGAAAGCACCCGGCACGCCGGGGTTGCAAAGAAGACTCAATACGAGCCTTGCTGCTCATGACTCATCGCTTCATGCAAACAAAGGAGATAAAAAAGAAAATAACAAAGGAGAATCGTGGGAACGCCATCCACAACCAATAGAGAAGCCTCCAGAAACAAGGGATATCCAACTCCAACTCATGAACACAAATCAAAGATTAGACTAGATGACGACAACATCGCCCTCAGCATCGGCGGGGTCGGAGACCATCATGTCACCGTATTTACCAACCGCAAGCAACATAGTATCATCCTCAAGGTCAATCGCACTATCGTCATTGTTATGACCTTGGAAGCCCGAATCTTGAAGAGAGAGTCGCTTCTCGCTAGGAGGGTGTTTGAAATCCGTATGTTGACTGGGTGGATGGCTTTGATGTCCATTATGGGCCACAGGAGGAGTCGGGTTGGATTTGGCTTGGGAATCATTCGATGTGTCAAAGGGGGATGTCTCGGGAACAGACGCTTGTTTCATTTGAAAGTGGCCGAGTGATTCGGGGCCAAAGGTCGCGCTTTGAAGTGATCCAGGGGTGTTGCGCATGAACCCGCCCTTCTCTGCTTGCCAGACCATCATCTCGTGGAAAAAGACTTTGGTCATCCACCAAGCACTAAAGCTTGGTGCTCCTGCCAGGGTGAGTCGGTGCAACACGCTATCCCATAAGGCATCAACTTTTTCAATGACACACTGCGTGCGGTGGTTGGCAAAGGCAGCGGGGATGTTAAGGATGAACTGAACCCATTTATCGGGGAAGTTGTACTCGTCTCCGGGAGCACTTTCCACGGGGAACTTATGAGCTTCAACAGAATCGGGGGTATCAGGTTGCGTGAAGAAAAGCAAGCTTGCGGAGGGATCAGCATCAGTCAACGGAGTCAAGAGAGCACGAATATCATGCTTAAGAATTTGCTCCGTCGCTGGCTCGGCACAAGTTGGAATGTTCGCCTTGGTCATCATATCTCTAGGATTGACCATGGTCTTATAGTCGGTCCACATTTGGTTTCGGTTATCCGGGTGACAAAGCCAGGCGGCAGCGGCATTAGCAGCCTGGTTCACATCAAGCATATGCTTAAGAAGATTGCAAAAGATGTGGGCGGGAATCAAGCGTGCTAAGGAGACATGGGTTGGCTGGGTCTTGAAGGTCTCAGCGATGTGGCCGCAAAGCCGTTGTGAGATGGAGTTAAAAGCGTCTAGGACTGGCTTGGGAACTACCTGGGTTGTCAGGGGTGCCACAAACGCAATCATTTTCTGGTACATCATCCAATCACACTCCTTGATCCATGAAGCAAGATTGGGATGGGTCAACAACTTTTGAACGGGAACAGTCAATGTTCCATGGAAAGCGGAGAAATATTTCATAAGATTTCTTTCCTTGCAATATCGGAAGCTGTCGATGACCGAAATGCAGTGAGAGCGATATAGGGCAGCAAGAGCTGCAGCAACTTTCAAGTCGGTGTTTGCAGGTAAGTAGGCACGGATATCAGGAAGTTGAAGGGTATCATTATCAACCAAGGTGTTCTCATCCATCGGGAACTGAAGCATCTGGTGTATCATTTTTCCAGCCTGCTGGGCTACATTCTCGCGGGTGATCGTTGCATCTAGCCCGGGTGCGGTGTGGCCTTGGCAATTGCAGTCGGCAGGAGAGGCATTGTTCGGGAATCGAGGAGCGAAGGAAGTTGTGGGAGATGGGAATACGGCAGTATCGGCAGTCGGTTGCTGTACGCTAGCACTAGTCATTTGTCAGTGAGAGCAAATAAAGGTTGATGTCAGTTATATCTCACCTTCTCGAGCGCATCGCGCTGGCGGCCCTGGAGGGCATAGAAGCGGGGCCATTCGAATGATGGACAATTTGTGGGTTGAGAGGCGCAAGTTTTTGTTGTTTTTCCTCAATGACCGACAAATCGACATAGTGATACTTGGACTCGCCTCGGACTCCAAGACGCCGAGTTTGTACATTGGGAAAGATAATGCGAACCAACTTCCCGAATGAAGCAGGGTTCAGTACTGAGACGCGTTCCGTTCCACAGTTCTCTGCATAGCAACAATAGACCCGGTCACGACGTACTGACCCACTGCTCTTCCGGCAATTTTCTCTCAGCCTGTGCACAGAGTTAGACAAATGGTTGCAGGGCATTTGC